CGAGAGCGAGGAGCAGCATAAGAACTGTATACAGAGTCTCGGAACACGATTCTAAGAGCTGGCCTAGTAAATAAGCATTCAATGCTGACACTCCTGTCAAACCAAGATTAATGTAATTATAAAGCTCGCATGACGCTCCCAATAATTGACACAGCAGGGAGGCTATGAACAGTTTGTAGGATATGTGCAGCAGCCTCCTGGAGCGCAATTGCAGCGCTATGTAGAGACTGAGAATGATGAATATCGTATACAGGCAGACGGTTGGTATCAGCAGTGGCAGTATGTCTAAAACGAAAAATTAAGGGCACAATTAAGGAACGCTACTCTGAGACTCGCTGATTGTCGTGAAAGTCAAATTACTTGCAGAATTCGTCCGCGGAAAAGTGCTCCTTCCAGAATGTCCCGGGCGGCGCATTGGTCAGCGATATCGAATACGTGACGTTCAAGCCTTTTGTGGAAGAGCAGTCGGCTAAAACCATATACCACCATCTCGGCCGGGATGAGTAGAATTTTCTCTGGCTAGTGCATCGAACTATACCGTCGTCTTTCTCGACGCATCCCGAAGCGAAGTTAATTGTTTCTATCGTGTTCAATGGTACTATTTGACCATTTTGGAGAACACTCTCTTTTTCCTGACATGTCTTATTGGAAGGATAGACAGCGCGCCATTGGTATTCTCCATCGTAGTACAGAAGGAGCTTCAAATTGCGTTCTTCACCTCCTAATTGAAAGTCGAATCGAAAAATACCATCCTCCGTTAAAAAACAGAATCTCGCGAGGAATGCCCAGTTCTGAAAAGTCGCAATTTCAAGTATTTGTCATACACTATCACTATTCTATATTCTATTTTTTTCAAACGGTTAACAAATCATTGGAGTTATTGCTTTACTGAAATAATAACAGTATTGCTCCTGCATCGGGCATTGTTGATTACATCTAAAGCATATTCCCAAGTAGCAAAGTGACATCAAATAACGTTTTAATGATGTCTCTAACGTCAATAAGACGTCATTAAAATATTACCTTGTTACTCGAGTTAATTCTAAAAATATTATGCAACAATTTCTAATAAATACCAACTGACAATAAAGATTAAAAGATTTATAATTAATATCTATACATGTGTATTAGTATCAGAAGGATCTCCGCAAATATAGTGAGAAAAAAGTATGGAAAAGATTTTTACAATTGCATGTCTTCACAATCCAATAAATAATAAATTATATTATCAATATTATAATTTTATACTTAGCAATATAAATGAATACAATGTCTATGGCATGTAACAGTTACATCGTTGAATGTAAAATTATAACATTGATATTAGTTATTGTTGGTTTACTGGGTTGTAAAGACATGTAATAATTGTAAAAATATTTTTATTGTTTATAATTTAAGCCACGATTTGTAATTTTAATGTAATTTTGATTTAAAAAAAATATTTTTACTATAATTAAAAAAAAATATTTTTACTATACTTTTCCTCACTGCGTTTGCGAAGAGCCTTTTGATACACTCTAATGAAATGTGTATTAATTAGAAATTTTTCAATCTCTCTCTTTTTGACTTGTCAAGATCATCAAAACATTAAATCATTAAAACACTACATCAAATTTAAATAATAAAAAAGAAATGCGATTATATCCTTCCGGGAATACAATTTTTATTACTTTAACATTAATTATCGCCTTCATTGTTCGCTTTACATTTACATTTTAAATCCCACTTATTTAACGAAAATCTACTCGTTTTTTATTAACAGCAGGTAGAAACTCATTGAAAACTTCGCTCGTAGGTACACGTCGCGCAATAATATTGACCACACAAGAGTGCCATGGATCGAAATCCCGGTGAAACGACTTGTGGTTTCATTTGATATTTTATTAAAATCAATTCAACTCTGGTAATTACTGTGGATGTAATCAAGTTGCCCTCGAGTATCTTGGCATCGGCGTGTCGAAGCAGCGGCAGATGCGCGATCGAGAAGAGCAGCAGCAGAAAGCCCAGCTTCACCGAGTTTCGAGTGCGCGAGGATCGTGCGACGAGCGTTCCTCCGCACATTACTATACCGCGATCACTACAGTTGCATACTGTCAGCGGTTAAGCGGCCGCTTTGATCAATATTTCCCGGTGCCATGACTTGTATATCGATTTGATTAGTCACACAAAACGTTGGTCGACATTCGCGAGATTGTTGAGAAAAAGGAAAAAAGGTCAAGAGAATGCTCCCACACGAAATTTTGTGCTGTCGTAGATTCTCATTTCTGTGTATATACCTTCTATTTCCTCTTTTTCTTCTACACTGAAAAAATTTACTAAATCTTAATACATATTTCATTGAATAGTACTAAGTAAACATTTATTTACAGTAAATAATTACTTAAATATATATTTTTTTTTTTTTAATGAAAGTGTAAAATTAATATTTTTATATTAAATAAATGTATGTATGTTTACATTTAGCAAATATTTACTTAGAACTATTCAAACAAATATTTAATTTTTTTTTCAGTATGATATCTAAATATATACGGTTTGATTGAGGGAGATTTAGGTAAAATAATAATGTAGCTAAAAAAAAAGTTTTATTACTTTAATTACTTTTTATTATCCTGATTGATTATTATTCAGCACTCACGCTTTTTGTACATAGATCTTGTGTAGATATTAAATTGAAGAGAAAGAGGAAGAAAAAGGAATTTTTCTAGAAAATTTAATTTACAATTTTATATATATAATAGTGACTTTTACGCCAAAGAATAAAATCTCTTAAAGATTGAAAATTGAGCCACTGTTTTTCAAGATTGGCTCCATTTTCACTTTTTAGAATGAGATTTCACTCCAAAAAATTTAGAGAGTAAAAACGAAAAAAAGTCGAGTGAGCACTATAATAATTGTTCGCGTGTCCCTGACATTTGCGTACATGTCGCTTGCGCGGCATGTAGTATGCATGTGCAATGCGTCGCCAGTTGATCGAATTGATTACTTGTAACACAACGGCGAGGAAATAATACTCCACTCGCTGTGTATAACGTATTATTTAACGTATTATATAACGTATTATTTACTATTTTTAGGAAAAAAATTGATTCTTTTAAACAAGTCACTCCGTTTACATTTTTTTTATTCAAAAAAGAAACAAGAGAAAACGATAAGTTTATATTTTTAAAAAATGAAAAGATAGCAAATACGTAAATATTTATTTATTTGTTAAAAAATATTTTTTTAATAAATAATATTTAAACAAAATAATAAAAGAAATAGATTCACTGGATTAAATCGATCACGATAAATAATGCCGATATAAAGCCAACACAGGATGTTCGAGTGTAAATTAAGTGCAATTTACACTCGAACATCCTGTGTTGGTTCCATATCAGTATTATTCATCGTAATAATATTTATTAAAAAATATTTTTTTGTAATGAAAAATAAAACGAAATGAAGTAACAGCAAATTTGAAAATTGGATTTTTGGTGGACCAGATTCCATGAATGGAAATTTTTTTCAATTAATTTTTTCCTGTGTGTATTTTCATGTGAATTCAGCTCTCTTTCTGCTTTCAAATCATCAAGCGAATCTTCTACTTCCAATTTCTTCTTTTCTGTACGTGTATCCTCCAAAATTGAAACATACGAAATTATTTTCAAATCTGTAACCTAACCTAGCTCTTGAAGCCGCCTCCTAAAGTCCATTCTGTTTCAGAGTTTTGAAATAGTACAAGAGAATTTTTTATATCTGTTTTATTTTATAGTTTGTCTACTTCTCTTTGTTTTATCAACCTTTCTGTTGCTTGAAAAAATTTTTGCATTTTAAACAAAATAAATATGTATTTGATTGTTAGAGAGAGAGAGAGAGAGAGAGAGAGAGAGAGAAAGAGAAATCGAAAATACTGAGTGCGAAGAGTGCAAACAACATGAACAGATCTACAGCGAGCTGCGCACAATAGCAGAAATAAAAAATTAGGAATAATGGTCGCGTTCAGCAGACTCAACTGTGGAGCGGATCCGTTACTATTGGATGATCTAGAAGAATACATCAATAGTCCGGATATACAATAGGGTTTTAAACCTTAAGCCATAAGAAATGGGCGAATCACAGTCGTTTATTCTTCTCGGATTCGACTGTAATTGGTCAATTTCTTACG